TATATTATTGATAATATTACGTCGTTTTTTAAATGCTTGTAGTTTCCTAAATCAGTTTTATTTATATTATTTTCCACTCTTTTAGTTTTTTCATAATACGATTTTAAATATAAAATTGGGGTGCTGCGTAAATCGCCACACCTGTCTATAAAACAGACCATGAGCTAATTTAAACTTTATAATGTTACTTTTAATGTCAAATAGCTTTATTGGAACTGAAGACAATCGTGCATAAGTATCTGGGAAAACCCTTGAAAAATTATCACGTTACATATTTGCATCTTGCAGAACAGTATAAAGTAAATATGCATATAATTCAATAAAATTGTTTTATAATGAAGTGAAAAGATTCTGAAAAATCTTGTATATATTCACTTCTAGGTACTTTATACAAATAATTCCTGTAAAAGAAAAAGAATAGAAATACGTAGCATATATTACTGCCTACTGTGTCAGTTTTGGAACCTATTTTGTCAAACGCTTATTTTTGCTTATCTTACGAAAAAATTAATTATTACAAAATTGCAAACAGTATTATAAAAACAGGTTATACTATCTGATAGAAGACACTTTTTAGTTTGTATTATGTTTTTAAACTTTTATTTTTGTCGCCTTTTGTTTAAGAAATATTGTCTAAAAACAAAGTGGTATGTCGGTGACGTTCCCCTAATATCCGGTTCAGAAACTTGGAGAAGGACATAATACTGATTATATGCGCTAAAGTATAAAGCGTAAGTTACAATTTAACGAGCAATAAAGTTTTGTGGTGCACCACATCCTACTCACTGAAGACTGTTGTGTTTACGCCAGCATTCAAATGGCCCTACAGGATTTTGAATTGCGCTTTAATTTGCTTACAGTAGTACTCCACACGCGGGCCAAAATTGCTTTCAAGCCACAGAATTTTACTTTCATCCGCATTGGCAGTCGAAAAATTATTAAAATCTTTATGTTACTGTATTAGAGAATCTTTTATCAGTCGAGTTATTATTTTTCTTCTAAGTAATTTCGCTCATTGAATGTATAAACACTATAAAGTGATATTAATATTACAGCAAATGATAAAGTAACTCAGAGGAAGATGCCATACTTAAGTCTTTATTTTTGAATAACTTCTTAATGTTATTGAATTAAGCTATAAAAAATATAATTTATACAAATTAATGAATTAAACTTTTAATATTATTAAGGTATTGGAAAAAAATTGATATGTTATACCCTGCAAAAGTGACATCTTCCCTTTATATGTACACACAATACGGGTAAGATGCCACCTCTTACGGGAGAGGATGTCACAAGCAATTAAACGCGGTATAAACTTGCATGTTTTACTTATCTGCAGTACCTATCCAGTCAAGAGTTTAAGATTTAAATTATAAAAACACATAAAGGTATAATAACACATAAATTAAAGAAATATAAAAGAGAGCACTTTAAAAAGCAAATAAAGCAATAAAATCGTTTTAATAACGGTGTGATCAAGCACGAAACATCATGTTTTGTATTTACTGTTATCTTCTTCCCAAGTATAAGTGGAAGGTGCTATTGTAACTTTTACTCATATATAAGAATATTATAAATTATAATTTTATACCAGCTACTAGGAAACACTAATCAAAACATTTATATCATATTTTTATATCATATGCTCGGTTTTACAATAAGAATCGCAGCATAGACTTTAGCTATTAGTGTATTGAATATTATAAACCATATTTCACGAAAATACCTTTTTATATTTCGTCAAATCTTTTTCGACATCGATTGACACAAACGTTTTCCTTCGATAACTGTGCAACTATTTACCATGCTTGTCTCGATGCTTGTGGATAGAATGGCCAACGGGCATTCGATGAAAAAACTACAATATATAAACGAAGTTTTCCCCCTTGTTGCATCTTTCCCCGAGTTATCTCCCTTATTTAATGATAATTCTTAAGTACTCATTTAAGTACTCATACCAATCTTTAAATATTCATAGCCAATCTTGTGAAAGTCAAATTTTAAAGAAATTTTGTGTATATGTAGATTACGTATCAATTTCGAAAGTTTTAATTGCTAATAATGGTTTTTAAGAAATAAAATCACTCCTTGTATGTAAAGTAGTTTTCAGTTTCTTTTCTCTTAAAAATTATTCAACACAACGCGCTAGACTCTTATTAACCAATTGTTTTATTTTAATTTTGTAATTTTATTTTCAAGAGACCTTACTTATTGTATTTGTATTTATTTATATTTTTTAAAAACAGGAATTTAAGTAACAAATCTATTAACACAGAAAAACAATATTAGTTCAATCAATGATTAGCTATGAAAAATAATCAAAAGTAATTCGAAATTTCAGTTTTATATTGCTTGGAACAAGCCTTTGTAGACCGAAGAGTGTTTAATATCTTTTGATACATGCTGATACATATTGTTGAATAAGCAAAGAAGCGCAATCGGTATGCACTACTCTCCTGATAAAGAACCGTTCCGTTTCGATAAGGAGGAACCGTTTCGTACGATGTATGCGATCGAGGGATCGTTTGATGTGAGTGCCGACTGTAACAACTCCTCACGTACAATCTAAGTCGGGTCAAACCGGACTGACAACCGTTCTGCCTGTGAACGGAAGACGCCCTGGCATAGCCAATGAATTCGTCTGCGACCGAATGGTAATGTTACTGCGTGCGGTCCTTATGTCGACGACAGAATGAAGGAAAGAGAGAGAGAGAGAGAGACAGAGAGAAGGGTAGAAGGGAGACATCAGGGAGGAAGGGCGAAATAGCGAAAGAGCGAAGGCAGAAGAAGGAAGAGGGAGAAGGAAGAAAGTACGCGCTCTGCTACGCGTCGCGTCGCGGACGCGTGCGTGTGTAGTGCGCGTAACGCACGCGTACGACGCACCGTACGTGCGGTACCGTAGCATACGACAGTTTGCAATTTATTGTCTGGACTTCAATTTGCCAAGTGAGTGGCCGTGGGCGCTACCGCCGCTTCCGACGGATATTCGGCGTCGAAAATTGCCAATTGTCTCAATGGAACTCGATTCGTATTGTGCACCAACGTTTACACCGCGCCGCAACAATGCGTGCGCGCGCGAGCGAGCGAGCAAGCGCGCGAGCATGCATGCACGAATGTATTGTACACACGCGTGAGGTTCTTCGGTAAACCGACGTTGCCGCGAACCCCTCTTGACTTTCGCAGAAGCGTCAATCAATGGGAATTTTTGCGATAAGTCGTTTCTACCGTCGGCGAATAGTCGTAAATTTATGTTGAGGATGATTGCATAATCGACGCGGAAGAAGAGGGTTTGATTCGGAGAAGTCTTTGAAAAATAAAATGATAACGGTGATAATGTTGATAAAGGAGAGAAATAGATAACTGTTATTAATACTAAAACGATACGCATGTTAACTCTCGTAGAATAAATTATAATCATCTTTAAGGGGATGCTGGAGTGATCAAATCATCACATTACAGTCGTATAAAAATGTTCGAATTGATTAAACGGAATAAAAAATCCTTTTATAGGATTAAAGTAGACGCAAAATTAGGAGATGGTGCAGTGGATTTTATACTAAAATCGAAAGAATGTTAAAAAATTTTTTAACGTTCATGTTCATTTTGAAAGTTAGTTTGGAAGTCAGTAACTATATATTAACTATTTCTAGCACTGATAAGTTTAAAGTAAGACGAAATGGGAAATTTGATATTACTTAACAATTAAAAATTCTCTAAAATTAAATTTTATGATAATTAAATTTTTTTTTAAATTATCTGTCCTATTCACCATTTCGAATTTATTTTTTACTTTAGATTCGAAGAAAGTATTTTCAAATTACTCTATAGATCAAGTTTCATAATAATTAAACGAACAGTTTACAAAACAATAGAGGGTGACTGTAAATAGAGTCACCCCCGTCTATAAAGAATTAATTTATCTAATAAATAATCATATTATTTGGTATAATTTGCAGGAAAGTTTTATACTTTCCGCACATTTTTTTGCAATTTGAGATTAAAAATGTTGCGTATAAATTTATGATCATCGTTGAGCCAAGAGGATCGGACAGGAGGATCCCCGGGTGTTCCCTATTCCGATTAACACGGCGGAGCTGCTAGTAGTAGAAAGTAACCGCTTGGTCACGAAATCGGACTGCCCATCTCTCGGACGACGCGAAGGCAGCCGATTCTGCCGCGGTTGTTAATCCGCGCGATTCCATCGACTTATCCTCTCGCGAGATAGCGATTTACGTTTGGATCCCCTGTGTGCCGTCCATGTCGAAATTAGCTAGTCAGCGCCCAGATTGATGAGGCGAGGACCGCCTCGCCGACGTCGAGGTCTTATGATACGCAGAGATCGGGCTCCGTCCAATTAAACGCGGACATACTCGTCGAGGTGATATTCTTCGAGGGATTTCATTTCTCGCGTCCTTGAAGGATGTTGTTATCGTCATCATGATCGTATTCCCTCAGAATTCTTCATTAGGAATGTAAAAAGTACATTATTTTCCGTATTTCGATGGGCACAAATATTTACCAAAATGTATTTAGATGTATTTAGGCTGAATGGTTTTTCTAAAATATCTAAACATTTAGTTATTACGAATCTGTAAATAATTTTATTGGATTATTGACATAATTATGTAGAACACTCAAGTTGATTGCTCGAATATGTCAACATTTTTCGCAGCATTGTTCATTATGCTTTAATTTACATAATTATTTTGACAGTTTGACACAAATAATTTCAGATCTGCATCTAAATAGTTAGTTACTTCAGCAAAATCGCTCTTTCCGTGTATCTGTAAATATTTAGAAATGTATAATATATATAAAAATTGATGCTCTTACATGTACAAATATTAGAAAGAAGGATTCCGAAAGTTAAAGATATTTCTATTAATAATTTCAAATACATATTTTCCGATCATAATTAATATATTATCTCACGATACTTATAAAGGTTTAATAGTTAAAATAATTGTCCAAAATTTCTCATATTCCTTTCACCTGGTCTCACGTCCCTGGAACCATGTACTTGATTTCGTGGATAAGTCGATGATCGCGAACGGAATTCCGATTCGAGCGATGGAAGTGCCGTGCGCGATGAAAGGAAAGAAGAAAAAGAAGGTAGAGAAGGAGAGAAAGAAAGAGGAGAAGAAGGAGGTAGAGAGTAGACGGTGGGAAGGAAGTGCCGGGAAGGATGAAAGGCAACAGAAAGAAACGAGTACTACCGTCTGGTGGGTCTTTGTACCCATCGAGTCTCCATCTCTCCCTCTGTCTCTCTTTCTCCGCTTTTTTCCTCTTTCTCCTTCTCATCTTTCCGAAAGCAGCGTCAGTAGGACAGGAATCGTCGCTGGATTGTCTGGGACCGGGCTGGACCAGCTCTTCTTCTCTCTCTCTCTCTCTTCCTCTTCCTTTCTCTCTGTAGTACGGTTAATGTGATGATAATGTCTGCGCCAGCCAACGGGAGATGGTCGCGGGATTTGTCGATAGAATTCCCGAGTAATTCCGTTCACGGCGGGGCCGCTTGAAAAAAAAAAGAATACAGGAGAGAAAGAGAGTGAGAATGAGAGAAAGAGAAAGAGAGAGAGAGACCTCGCAAGAAGATAATGACCGCATGCAAAATCACGGTACGCGTCGACGGATTCCCGCGGAGCCGCCCCTTTTCTCGCCACGATGCGATGCCCTTCCTTGTCCCCCGTGCGATCCTTTTTTCGTCCCCTGCGGCCGCAAACTCTCAAAACTTAGAAAATTCCGAGTTAATACCGCGACGAACCGATCACGTGGCTGATAAAGAACGCCGCTCTGAAAAGGTTCATTATGAGGTGTATCGGCGCCACCTCGACTTCTACGCGCTCTCCTAAACAGGAGCGGAGTCTGCTTTACGGTAAATGCAGGAGGACGATTCGGTCGACGAGCATAAAAAGCGCTTTCCGTAAAAATCAGGGCTCCAGACTGGAGCCGAAGGGTCGTAACACGGCCAGCATACGAAATGGTAACGATTACTTTGTTGGCTATCGGTAGAAAGACTAGCAATCTAACTTGTTGATCACCGTTCTTTGTAACTGGTAATGTACACGTATATGGTATACTTAAGAGATACTCATGATGCCATACAACCAATTTTCAGAACGAAGAAGAGATTGTATTCCAATGAAATCTATAAAACCTGTTTAGATTGATCTAGATCGATTAATCAATCACGCTTCTTCATATTTAATAAATAATCTTATTGAGTTCATCAATCTTCCTTCTATATTACTTTAAATATATATAGCTTAGAGTATTTTAAACTTACATTAAATATGCAAATAACATCACAAATTGCATATTGTTCTAATCCTATACTTATGCTTTTGCTTCCTGTATCAATTTAAAATATACTTTTAAAATATACTTTTCATCTTTAACTTTCGCTAAAAACAATTGTTTTCATTATTGTTACACGATTTTCTTTTAGTGCGGTGATTTCATTTAAGTCGATGCAATAGAGATATCAATACACTGTAACGTTGCTGGAATGGTTTGTACTGTGATGAGTAAGATACTCTTCAAATTTATCTAGATACAGATACAGTTACATGTACGAAAATTTATCTAAATACAGATATAGATACACATATTAAAATGTATATAGGTACTGATATGTACGAGTATATCAGATACTTTAAAAGTATTTTTAGATACATTTCAGATACCCTTACATTAATTTTATTGTAATAATGGTAATGTGTAAAAAAATGTATTAGTTATTAAATGAATCATTTATTCATTCATTTTTGTTACATTTAGATAATTGAAAAAATTTATAATTATCGTAAAACGATTTACAATAAGAATTATAAGACGATATTATTCATTATTATTCATCATAGTTTTACAAACTAAAAATGCTTCAAACATTACGTTTCCAGCTTAATTATACATACATTAGAAATTCCACAATCTAAGATCACTGGTTGCGTTCAGCAGAAAAAGTAGCTGTGTAACTATAATATAAAATTCTTTAATATAACTGATTTGCATTTAGATTCAGTGAGGAACTAGGAGAAAGACCAATCATGTTATAGAATTTTGCAACAGCAAAGCTGCTTTTTTTCTGCGGAATGGAATCAACCAACAATCATACACAAAATGGAATTATGACTATGCTGAGGAAATGCTGAAAAATGCATTTGAAAAGCAGTTCAGATGCTGTGTTTTTTTATCTAGATACAGATACAAATACTCTAATATATATTTGAATGTACCTCAGATACCTCCGATACACAAAATGTATCTCTCTATACATGTATCTAGATACATGTATAGAGATACTACCCAACACTGTATGAGTACTATTAATAATAAAAAAAAATACTGGAAAAATTGAAATAAACTAAGCTCAATGAAAAATAATTGTAATCTGTACCTGCTCTGTAGTAGAGAAATGTAGATGCATCAAACGCGAAATGTTTTGATTTGTGTTTCCATAAATCGTGTAACATGTGCATCCCAGAGATGAAGGACCGAAATGCGAGTCCTTGTGCCGGCGCATAGCAGGTCGCTGTAGCGGGCGGCTTGCATCCTGTATGATATTTTTACGAGGTCCTTCCGAGAATCGGGATGCACTGCGTGGGGCGAACAGCTGAGACCGAATGATAAGACGACAGTCGGTTGCTGGGATCGCTATCCCACTTATCGGTTTCTCCCCCAGTGAAACGCGTCCCTGACCTTCTCTGCGATTCGTGCATCCGCGCTGATTCCAGGAATTTATTCATGAAAAAGAAAGATTAAATGTTGAGCGAAACTATATATATCTCAATGCAATAATACTGATATATCTGTTATTCCTCCATCAAAGAAGATATTACTTAATCAAAATATGATTCAATTAAGATAAAGATTTTTTTTAAACGAAGATTTTAGAAACAGGACCGTTTATATAAATCAAACTATAATATGAGACAGCCAATCACGGTTAAAGTTAGATATTTCAAATATTACATTATTATGTATTTATTAAATAAATTTATTATGATTGCACGCCGATAATTTTTGGACTTTCAACACAATCAATCTGAAATACTAATAATCCTTCCTAAATTAAATTAAATTAGAAGAATCTGTAAAGAACTTATTGCTTTCCAATTTTCCAAGGCAAGTGTCTTAGCTATCTCGTTAAGTCAAATATTACAATTATATTACATTATTAGACATCTCTTCATCATCTCTCAACATTACAACATAGCAAAACATTTTTTGTGATGAGTTTGTTGATGAGATGAAAACTTTGATGTTTATATTACGTCCGCACACTGAGAAACCCATTTAATTGAAACCCATTTACAGTTTAAATCAATTAATTTCTTGTTTGGATATAGGCAAAAAATCCTTGGTTGATGCAGTAAAATAATTTAGTTGAAGCAAAACATTTGGTTATTGTAACATTTTACTTGTTTCTGATAAATATTGACATCTGATAAAGCTGTTTACAATAATCAAATGTTTGGCTTCAACTAAATTATTTTATTGCATTAACTAAAGATTTGTTTGCCCATATCCAAATAAGAAATTAATTGATTCAACTAAATGGGTTTCTCAGTGATGTGTATCTATGACACGTATAGTCAGTTCTACAAGAGCGTATAATATATTGATACATTATATTTGCAAGAAGATTTAAAAATATATATATTACCATTTTTTAAAATATTATGTATGTGTAAAATAAAATGTATATTCAGTAGCCTTTCGCGCGCGTCATTGCCTAAGATTTTGTCTTTTTTGTTATTCATTATATCCTGACAACTATAGTTGCATTGTCTGAAAGTTCGAAAGTGGTATTATGATCTTGGACTGGCCAACAGTCTCTTGATACGAATCCCATAAAAAAAATTTGAGCATTTATGAAGAGAAAGCTTCAGAGAAACACGTATAACCTGTGAAGCAGTAGTTAAATTATCAAGTTTGGCAAATATACGATCGCTTTCTCTCAGCTACGTAAGAAATTAACTAGTCGAAAGCATATCCAGAAGTTGTCAGTCAGCTAATTAAGTAATCACTAATGAAAAACAATGAAGATTAGATGACAAATTAGGAAATGACAAAATGAACTATTGAATGTACTTTAAAATGTATACTTTTACCATTTTAAAGTATATCGTTCAATAATTTGGAAAAAATTGATTGAATTGATTAAAAGAGGATTCTGTATATATTTTTAAATTCCATAAATTTTTTTGCAAATATTATATTTGCTTTTGTGGAACAGACTGTACATTGCAAATTCAAGTAAGAGTGTAAAAAATGACTTTAATGCATGTGTGTCATTTTCCATGTAATGACTTTAATGTATGTGTCATTTTCCATGTAATGACACTATATTACACGTTTAAATGCAAAAATCTATATTTGTATGCACTGAGAGAGAGAAAGAGAGAGAGGGAGGGAGAGAGAGAGAGAGAGAGGGAGGGAGGGTAGTGTATTACTTTTACATCAAAAACTAATCACACACACATATATTGAAGTTACTTTTTAGTCTTTTCACACATTTGAATTTGCATTGTATTTTTGGGATTAAACAACACATGATAATCTTTTGTCAATCTTTTAAAAGCATTAAATAAGCAAAGATTAGAAAAATTAATTTTTTTTACATTTTTTGTGTTAAATTCTTTTTTATCTTGTCCTCGGTTGTTTATTGCCAGCGGTTATGTATGTCTGTTCTTATAGAAGCCGAAAAATGCACACGCGCAAATTCCTTGTGTTTTATGAATAACGACTGTGTGGCACTCGCGTTACTTGCTTGTACGATATTTCGTCGCGGCGGTAATGCCTTCTCGAAAATGCTCCGTAATTATGCCGTTCGTGTCGATATGCTGCGTGACTTGAGGTTAGCCGGTAGCACCACAAAACGCTCTTCATTATACGCGGCTACTCTTCGGAATATTCCGTTATCACGAACACCGAGACCGCACATTCGGATTTCGCGCGCGCACGCATGTACGTTACGTTCATGCAAACGCAAATGCCGAAAATAAAGAAGAGTTTGTTATGCACGAACTCAAAGAGATTCAGTCCAGAGTTCTTATCTCATACAGATCATGATAGTCCCCTTAAATTTTAAAGAGAAACAAAAATATAATAACATTACACGTTTATAGTATATATTGTAATAAAATTTTGTGATTTACCTATTAGTAATTAATTATAAAAATAATAAAACAAAACAAATTCATAACATTTGATTACTTCCCTCTCTCCCCCTCCCGGGTTCAAAAGTCTCAGCTATAATTTATCCTTCCTCATACACAAAATTCTGGCTATGCCCGTGTCGTAGATTTGAAAAACACGCATACGATTTTTTTTATGGAAGAATGTTAAGAATATATACAGCGTTATTTTACAATTTATAATAGATATTATAAATACATAAATAATATTTGTAATATATATAATATATAAGTTGTATATAAATATATAAGTTATTATATAATTATAAAATAATAATTGTTTTGCCATTCATTTTGGGCACTTTTTATCTAATTCCAAGTTGATTCCTTTTTAATAAAAATCAGATAATTATATGTAAGAAAATTAATTTTGATATATGTATATATATGTATATATATATATACTTTGTAAATTTAAATTTTCTTTAAAATACAGCTATAAAATTTTGTTTTAAAACTTTTGTTTAATACATTTAAATTAAAATTTTATTAAACTGAAATTTATCTAAAATAACTTGACAGATAATGTTATCTGTATTTTTATATTTAATATATAATTCAGAAATCATGTTGCGTATTTTTAATGAGAAAATTTGCATTGCTAAATTTGTATTTGCAACAACTGCGATAAAAATGCGATAAACTTACAACTTACGACAACATATTTATTTCCGAGATATAAAAAAATTAGAGATATAATATTCACATTTGAGATATCGGATTATCCACGCCCGCTCAATTTCTTTTTTTTGTTAAACCATCGAGGTTGCGTTACGGATACCTGATAAAACAAACGGTTACAGAGTCGCGACCGTGATGTATAACCGTTTTAACACCTAGTTTCGTCGATCGAAAAGACGCCTTCGGCCGTGACTTCGGGCTCCGGTAATTACGGTAATTTAATTAGAAGTCATCTGGCGAGACGTCAACCACGCGTATAGCACGTGCGCCTTATGCCATCTTGTTAGATAACCTACTTTCTGTCCACATTGAATTCAGAAAACGGACACAGTCGGGGTCGCCTTATGTTCAAGGCGGTTATCATCGCACGGCGTGTGGCCCGTCACTCGGTAGATGATGGCTCGATAAGTTAACTATTTTCCTACTAGGTATCTTTACAGAAAATTTAAATATTAATGATCGGTTGTTCTATTTTTGGATAAACTGTGTAGTGATTTATTTAGTGGACAATAGAAAGAACGAAAAAAACAGAAAGAGAGGGAAGGAGAGAACGAGAGTGAGAGTAAGAACTTTCTTACTCTCACTCGCGTTTTCTTTCTCTCTCTCTCTCTCTCTCTCTTTCATTCTTTCTCACTTGAGTAAGCTGAAATTTATCGAAAGGTGAAACAACTCAGTCTAAACACTAAGTTCTTATCTAACTCTAAGTTCTTACAGATTTAAATAATTTTATTTAATGATTCTATACCTTTTAATATTAAGCGAAATGCGTTTTTGTCCGAAATATAGGTATATGTTCTAATTGGAAAAGGAGTCTAGTTGAATTAATTATAATTCTAATTGAAAATGGACAAAACTGAATTTTCTAGTTTTTATTATAATTCTAGTTCAGATAACCAGAATTCTAATTGATAATTAAAACTTTCTGATTCGTCTATTTTCAACTAGAAATTTTTCTAACAATAAGTGCTAATATATTTATTTATTTCTAATCATGTATATACTTTTGTAGCTGAACATGAGAGAGAATAACATCATTTTGCTGAAAGTAAAATTCTTGAATATCATTCTCCGATAAGAATTAAAGCTCTTGAGTTACATACGTATAAATTTGTGTTTGGAATTACTATACTTAAATTACTTTTGACATTTTCTGAAGACCCCACTCGCACGCGTTCCTTCAGGAACGCTCGGCACCTTCTTATCGAGAAAAACAAGAAAAAGGAGAGAGTGAAAGAGAGAAAATGGCGATGTTCGCGCGAGAGGGATGCAGAAGTGCGCGTGCCGGGCACACCTGCGTATTAGAGTAGAGGGGGATTAGCACGGGGGCACTTCGGGACACCTGGCTACCGTCTATCGTCTATAACGTAATAGTATTTTATAACGTAAGAAGCGTGTGCGCAGAAGGAGGAGGGGGAGAAAACGAAGGAAAACGAGCGAGCGCAGAAAAGAAGGCATTGGGGTGGTTGCGCGCGGTTAAACGCGGTTAAACGTGAGGGGCGGATAGGGCCAGGAGTACGACGCAGTTGACGTCTCGAATCGATAAAATCGGCTCTAACGTGGGCTAACGAACGTTCTCCACTAAAGTGCCTTCGCGACACCTGGTTCCAGTCACGACGCCACGGGGAGGCTTGATTTCCGACATCGGAAATGACTTACGCAATAAGATCTTTTGTTTGAAGACTCGAGACCGAGGACAGGCCGAACTCTAAAAAAAAGATATGGATCTCAGTTTAAGCGACTTTTCGGAAGTAATACAGTTAAAATGAAATATACAAAATGACTTGAACTTATTATTTGATTTTAACGTGTATTTGATAATTAAAATCTTATTATTGTAAAATGTTTACAATACTTTAAATTAAAATTTAGTTACTAAGGTTTAATTAATTCTACCGATATAAGATTAATTTAATCTCATTGTCAGTTCAATTTACTCTTTATCTTTTTCTAATTTTAAGAATTAGAAAAGGATAATTCTAAGGATGAAAAAAATATAAACATTAAGTTAAACCAAGATTAAAGTTAATCTTACATTGGTGAAACCAAGCCTAAAATAATTTAATGTTCTAAATTAGGGCCTAGAACACAAAAAAACTTAAGCAGTAAAACGTAAGCAGTAAGCGAATTGACCAATCACAGTAGAGTTTGTAAGGCCATAATATAAGCAGTAGCTAATCCAACATGTTGTTTTCCTTACTGCTTACGTTTTACTACCTAAGTTTTTTGTGTGCCATTGTCCTTAATCCTTCGATACCACTTTTAATGTGACATACGAGATTTCTTTTACGTTACTATCCTATAACTTTTACATTAATAAAGATACATATGTCTGCTTATTATCGTTATAATGCCCTTAATGTCCAGCATTTCAATTGAAAAAGAAATTTGTTACAATATATTTATTTTTATGTGATATTTTTTATAATATCTAATGTGGCAAGTTGTAACAAATCGGTAGGTATAATATAGAGTGGCACTGAAGAGTTTAGTATATTATCTTTATAGAAAAATTTACTATAAATTAGTAAAAAAAAATGGAAAGTGTGCAATTTCTAGGACAATCTATGTAAACCGATCACGTACAATCTGTTGGCTGTCTTCTATTGAGAAATACGACTGATAAATTTCTCGATCGAGAGTCACTCGTACAGTAATATGGACTAGCGGCGACGCCACGACAAAAGCGTTGGAACAACAAAAGTCCGCGTAGCCCGTGCCCGCGAAATACAATAGCCAGTGGCAGCTGCCGATTTTATTCGAGATCGCCTTCTTGGGGTAAAATTGAAAGCTAAGGAAGTCGCTTTCGTGGTTTGAAAGCGAACGCGCGCTGCGAAAATTGACGACTGTCGCGAGTCACAAATTCGTTCGCAATTCGTATTCGATCATTTTGGTGTCAAAGATGATCTTGCAATGATACAAACGATTCTAATTTAAATAAAATAATAAATGTAAAATGAGATACAAATTGTGAAGTATGTTTTTCACAAACTTGGGACATCTGTTCGTTCAATAAACCTATATATTTAACACTTTCAACACAGCACTCAGTATTAGTTAGACATAGTCAAATATTGCAATACGGTTATGATATTCTTGTTGCATTCTGAGAACAAAATCTCGAAATGGTTGATAATTAACTGAGGGGGTAACCTAGCTAAATATTGTCCCACAGATTACATGATTTCATATGATTTCATCTGATTACAAATAATTTTTTTCACTACGAATGAAGTTATTTGGTAAAATATACGATTTTATTTAATATTATACAATGATTTCTCGTTGCATATGTAATTATCGGATTATACACAGAGATTTCATATGAATTTTATAATGATTTCGAGGACTCTGTCCCACGATTACATTAAGTGGTTACCTCCTCGGAATTAACCCTTCTATGATAACTTCTCCAACTCGATGCTATCTTATTAATTTTTTATCTAATCGATGTAACAAAACAAATAAAAAAAAATAAATCATATATATCATGAAACTTTTTCCTTTGTTAAACATTACATGGACACTGTAAAATAGACGAGGGTTGTATCTCACCTTTTTCAAAGAAGGGTTAATCTAAAGACACAGTTTCAAAATCTATCATTGTTATATAAAAACCTATAAACGACAAGACTGTAATTAAATAACTGAAAAAATATATATCGGAAATTCTATACATATTGTTTCGTAATAAAAAATCTTGAGAACAGAGAGAGGGAGAGAGAGAGAGAGAGAGAGATTTGGAAATGCGTCGCGTGTGCCTTAAGGATCGTCTCTCCTCTTTGCGATTAATCGCCTAATTTGTACGACGATCTGTATTTGCCGTATGGCGTATTGCGCATTGCAACAGAAAGAAGAAGGGCGGCTCCACTGGGATACGTTACGTGTTCCAACTCAACCCCCCCGGTTGCTGAAAAAATAATTTCAAACAAGCAGAAACCGACGGCGGTAGCGACAGGCCGAAAGACGTTACATATCGCACAAGGGTGATCCCTTAGCATGACAATAAGACATCTGCTTGGCACGAGCTCGTCGCGAAGGGTGCAAGCAAGTGGTGGCAGCCAGTCTGGCTAGCCATCCTTAACGAAATCGGAACTCCGCGCTTCCC